TTTAAAGAAACGCAACATCCTAAAGGATTACTAATATCGTGGCAATCGGAAACAAGTAAGAAAATGTTGTGACCATGAACCGAACATAACAATAGAAGAACCTTGCAATAAGGAAGCGCAACGACGGAAAGAAGCACAGAATATTCAACAAATTACACCACCGTGATAATAAATTGTTGTAAAGATTAAGTTCAGTGCAATACATGAAAAGCGCACAGTTGGTTGGTGGAGCTTTTGAAACCTTCATATTATCTAGTGCTACAACTCGTAATTCCCATATGTTGCTGAAAAAATGTTAAAAAAAAATAATTTGCATATTCTACTAAGATCCTTCATCTAAAAAAAATTCAAATACTCCATCAGTTGTCTACAGAATTCCACTATTTAATGCAACATATCTCCGAGTAATGTTGTAATGAAGACAAGATGTAACCACAGAAAAACTTTACGGAAAAACATGACCAATGACTTTGCAGATTATTTCCGGACACTCATGTTAATACTACCATACTTTTTACCCTCATTACAGGTTTTTTAGCACAATATCAAAGCAGACTTTTGCTTTTCGTATATTTTCGCCATGTTCACAAGATCCACATTCTTCGATCCAAATTTAATCGTATCATATTGCTTGTAAGTGATATATCTATTCCTCATTTCTTCTAGTAAATTTTTCCCTGGATTAACTGCGCTGGATCGAACAAATGAACCACTCTTCGCAGAACTGTAAAAATTTCTCGAATCTTTTGCACTATGTCTTCTTTATAACTACTGTTGCTCAATTTTTCGTTTTTTTGCGTCTACAAAAATAGAATATTAGAATATTTAGAACAGAGTAGAATATTAGAACTCGAACAATGGATGTACAAAGAAACTCCAATTATAATTCATTTCTTGTCGACATATAAGCATTCAGTAATTTAGGGAACAATGCTTAACAGATGATCAGATTTAAATTTGAAGAAATAACAAACTTTGCCTGAAAATATCGTTTTCCTTTCACAGAACCATCATGCTTTCCTCGTTCAGGATTGTCCCAGTCAATACCGACCCATTCGCCATCATATCCCTCAATAGCACCAATATAACTTATAGTTCCTCGATCTTCACCAATCTCAACTCGATCACCAACAATTAACATCACCATTAATCTATGTTACTAAACTTCATGGCCTCAGTCTCTCTTTTCAATATCCTAAAAAACATTAATTATTTCCTAAGTTTGTCTGCTTTTAAT